AGCTTCACACGCCTCCCTCAGCCCTCAGGCCTGAAGCCTCTGCCCCCCACTGAGGTCTGGTTCACTGAACCTTGTCTAAAACACCTGGCGGCAGGGAGCTCCTAGTCTGACAGGAGAGACCGAGTTCCTGTCCTCAGGGGACTCTCATCCTGATGGACAAATATCAGGGAATGCCTAAAATGACTTTCCTTAATCTGGCCTTTCCCGTAAAATATGCATGAGTGCTATTGTTTAATTACACTATTAATAGCAATAATAATTGCCGCCATTTATCAAGGCCTACAATGTGCGAGAGGCTGCATGAAGTTCTTTTATGCTTTATCTCATCTAAATGTCTCAACGACCTTTTGAAGTGAGTATATTATTATCCCCATCTTATGGATAAGGTAACTGAAGTTCAGAAAGGTTATATAACTTGCCCGAGGTCACACAGATGGTGAGTGCTGGGGTCAGAAGTAAAACCCAGAGTCTTATTCTTAACCACTCTGCTATGCACTGCTTCTACTCTTGATTGAAATCCTTCTTGTGGACACCACCCACCCCACCCCCCGCACTGGGCATGCTTGTCTTTCCTTACAGAGCCTAATTGCAAAAAAGATGTGGGCGAGTGGGTGCCAGGGCACTTTGGAGAAACGTGATGGAGAAGGAAGGGAGACAGGCTGATCAGCTCCCAGGGCCCTGGGCCCCTGGCCAAGACCTGCTGTTGGTGGCGGCGGGAGGTGCCTGAGGACAAGGGCCAGGTCAGGGACTGGTTTGAATCCTTCTCAGGACTTTGAGAATTTCTTTCTGAAACTGGGCAATACCTTCAGGCCCTTCCAGAGACACTCTGGGCACAACTGAGGGGCTAGAAAAGCCAAAAGCAAGGCAGGCTTGGGCCCGGTTGTCTGCCCACACAACTTCTGGACACAGAGGGCCACACTCTGTTTGCTCCATCTGCACTGTGGGTGTAGAGACCCCCTTTTCCAAACCGGAAGTGTTCTGTCTAGGACAAGTGTTGGAAGTGTACCCATCCTATAAATGTGATACAGGGGGTCCAGGATTCTTCGTTTCTCCCCAAATGCGCCTGTCATGGCGCTTTCCACGCCACGGTGAAATTGTTAGATGCTTGTCTCTGTTCTGGGGCAGCTCCCATGTTGTAAGGTGCTCCGTAAATCCGCAGTCAATGGATGAATGCAGGAATGTAACCTCAAAGACGTGGGGAAGAGTTGCCTTTTTCAGAGGTCGTGAGCCATTGCAACTACAAGCATAGCGTGCAGACTACTGTCCCAATCATGTCCGCCAGGCGGCTTCTACCCACTACCCTCCCCCTCCGTTGGAAGGATCGCGCTGCCCTCCTCGAGGAGACTCCCCCCCCCTCCCTCTGGCGGCCAGCCTCCTTTACCTCCTGTCCCTCTATCCAGGGGACAGGCCACCGAGTCGAGGACCCAGCTCTTGCCCCGCCTGAATCCGCCAACTCAGCGTTCTAGGACGGGAGATCAGGCTTCAGGAGAAGCTTCCACAGGGGGGCGCTGAAAGGGCGCGGGAAAGCCTGAACAGGGCCCCGCGGCGTCCTCTGGGGTGGTGGAACCCAGATCGCCAGCCGGCCAGCGGCGACCCCTCACCGAAGCCCCCGCTCCTGCCTCCCCTCCCAGCTCCCCTTCTTTCTCCCGCCTGCCCAGCCATTCCCCTCCCGCTCCCGTATGCGTTCTCAGTCAAGGCGAAAGAGCGCGCGGC